GCCTCCGGCGTCCCCCACAGAAGCTGCTGATGGCAACTCGACCCTGGGTGGCGGGACGGGCACCATGGGGCTGAGCGCCCGCTACGGCCCCCAGTTCACTCTGCAGCACGTCCCCGATTACCGGCAGAACGTCTACATCCCGGGCAGCACCGCCACCCTCACCAACGCCGCCAGCAAGCGCGACGCCAAGAGCGCCGCCTCCGCGGGAGGCAACAAGAAGAAATCCGGGAAGAAGGAGAAGAAGTAGAGAAGAAGAAGGAGACCCTAGAGCTACAGGGCAGCCGGCTCCAGCACTCCCCCAAAACCGCAGCCCAGGCCGGAGGACGAATGTGATTTTTATTTTTTTTTGTGATGCAAAAAGTAGGAAACGCTGCGAATGTATCTCGTCATCATCAGAGCTAGGAGTAGGGTCTCTCTGCTGTTAGATCTCATGATGAAAACCAATCCGGAAGCTAAACCGAACACAAACAAGTGCCCTGTGAATACTTGCTAATGTTTTATACAATCCCTCGGGTGTTAGAATATGCAAGGGTGGAAGGCCTTCTGCCATGTTTTTGGATCCGATTTGCTCCCAGGTAGTCTGAGAAAGGCACAAGGCTTGTGCTTTGCTTTGCCCAGTGTAAATAATTTTAGCTCGGATCTTTAATTTATAGACCTTCGATCATATTTTGGAAAGGAAAAGGAAATTCCTGTCTTAGAGCCCATGATCCAGATCTTTGCTTTTAAACTTTCCATTAGTAAAATTCACCCCCAGTTAATGATAGCGATGGGTTTGTTGCTGAGGAGTTGGTAGGGAGTGCTTCAGTTCCTGCTTACCTATTACCTGGAAAAAAAATAAGTGTTTATATTGCATGAGTCAAAGGGAATATGGCAAAGCTGCATTCCTAAACTTTTTTTTTTTTTTTAAAGTGTGACCACCAATGGCCTGAAGTATGAGACAAAAAAACCAAAAACCACTGTCTGATGTCTGAGAGGTAGGGAATTCAAAAAGAGGAGCGTGCCGAGGTGCGCGGTAGCTGCCCCGGTGGTTCTAGGGGTCTCCGAAGAGCAGGCACATCTCATCCCTTCTTTGCAGTAAATATTTATATGTACAGTCAATGTTCTTCTGGAATTAAAGCTAAGAGAGTCTCGCTCCCCTGAGGCCAGGCAGCCATCTGGCCAAACCCCCGCCAAGGGGACCAGGGGATGATGCTTCACGTCTCTGCACACCGCGTCTGCATGCACGTCCTTCACCTCACACCTGCACTAGCGCAGTTAGCTCCACGGACCCACAGAAGTCCTCGCATGCCCGCGCAGCGTGGTGTGAACACGCCGGCAGCCGCCTGAGCCTCCGTGCCGGGGCTGCCTTGGGAAGTGGGGGGGGAGAATTGGTCAAACGGGATGGGGAGACTCATTGCTTCTTATTTGGGGTGCGTACCCCAGTATAAGGGGGTTATTTGGGATCTTGCTCAAAGGGGTGAGACCCACAGCGCTGCCGGCGTGGTGGCTTTGGTGCTGAGTTGGCGACTGAGTAAGTGACCGTTGGTTTGGTAGCGCCTGGGGACCAGACCCGGAGGAGGGACCCAAGAGCTGGGGGTGAGCGCGGGGTGATGCTGCAAAGCCAGCGGGCTGGGGTGACAAGGGGGGGGTCACCCGGGGGGGGTGATGCTCCCGCTGGCTTTGGGCTTTCCACCACACAGAGGGGATCGAAGGATGAGGAATAGAGTTTCTCCACATGCCCATCACCCTTGCACCAGACCAGCTTCCCATATCAAAGCAGCTCCGAGCCCCCCAGGAGGCAGAGGGGGGGTTGTGTACCCAGAGGGAGGAGGGGGGCTGTGGGTGGCCAGGAAGGGGCCCTTGCACCGGACCAGCTTCCCATATCAAAGCAGCTCCGAGCCCCCCAGGAGGCAGAGGGGGGGTTGTGTACCCAGAGGGAGGAGGGGGGCTGAGGGTGGCCAGGAAGGGGCTACACCGGCTTTCCCTGGGGGTGCGTGTGTTGTTTTTTTCCCTTTTTAATCACTAACACGTAACTCACTGAGCAGACCCAGTCCTCTCAGCCAGGCTCTGGCACGGCAGCGGTCACCCCACCGCCACCCCCTCCCCAAACCCAGGGCAGCAGGAGCATCCACCACGTTTCATCTGGATCCGGATACCTCCAACACTGGCTGCGCTGGGAGCGGTTCCCACCCTGTCCCCTGCAGCTGCCACCTGCCCCCCCT